AGGATTGTATTTTGGGCATTTGAAGAATGGATAAGAAGAAGGTAGTAACTCCACTGGTTTGCCATGGACATTCTCGTCCCGTTGTTGATTTGTTCTACAGCCCGATCACTCCCGATGGGTTTTTCCTTGTTAGTGCTAGCAAAGGTGAATTTATATTATCTGCTGAAATGTGTTCTGTGTGTGAGATTTTCATCTGTTTCTAACATGCTGAATGGCTGATGGTTAATTTGATTGAATAATGTTTTGGAATGCCACAATTTTAATTGCTGCGCAGCTTACGTAGTATAGATGTGTAAAATTTAATACTTTACAGGCAGCTGTTCTTCAAGTTCAGCGATGTCATTTATGAGGCAGATTTTTTCGACTGTGAAGCTGATTTCACAATGCAAGGCCATAAACTAGTTTCAGTTAATACCTAGGATTTTTTTTAAATTTTTTTGTGTGAATCATGCACTTCAGTTGGCCCTTAAATGTAATAAATGAGCTCTCGTGAACAATTAGGGTGGATTATTTATAAGATTTCTTTGAATTGAACTTCATTCTATTATGGATTATGCTTTGAACTATTCTTAATGGCATCATCTTTGCTTACTCAGATTCCACTCCAATGTTGAGAAATGGAGAAACTGGAGATTGGATTGGAACCTTTTAAGGGCATAAAGGTGCGGTTTGGAGTTGTTGTCTAGATAAACATGCTCTACGTGCTGCCTCTGCATCTGCTGATTTTTCTGCACACGTGGTGTTCTTACATTTTATTGTATTTAAAATTTAAGATTTTCCATGTATGGACATTAGATCTGTGACGTGGAATCCACATTTAATTGGAACACTTATTTGACACTTGATTGGTGATATTTGATTGCCAACCCATGAATCATGAACACTCCTAGCAGAGTAGCATCACCGTATCAGACACGTGTCATGTCAGACATTTAACACTCCCTGGACCCTCTAGGACACGTGCCTGACTTGCCACATCGTGTGTTACTGTGTTCTATTTCTATATAATTTTTTAAATTTTCAAAACACAAAGGATACTTTAGGAATACTCTTCGTGCACTATCCGAAATGCCATTTCGCATGACCGTTATTGTTCATTATCTTATAGGTTAACAAGCAAGGAACATGTTCTTGACAATAAAGGACTCCTAGAAACATCAAAATAATGTGATAAAAGTTCTAACAACTTCATGGCAAATTTGTTTTACATCTATTATTTGTATCTTTCTTTCTCTAGCAGTACTAATAAGTAGATATACTATGTAGAATGAAAGCAACGAAAAGATATAAAAAATTTAAAAGATATATGAAATTTATACTCCTCTGATTTAAAAGATTTCACCTACAAAAATAAAAACTTAAACAAAGTATTCATTTTTATAAAATAAAAGTTTAAAAACAAAGATATACTATATATATGTAACAATTTAAAGGAATATAAATTCGATGCGTCCTTGTCCTACTTTTTTTAATAATCATGTTCCGGCGCATCCATGTCTGTGCTTCTTAGCTGGCAACAAACAGAAATAGAGGTTTAGTCCCAATTTCTGTAATTTTTTAGGTTTATGGCATCCTTTGCAAATGCATTAATGCTAATTGTGGTTTATGTTATTGTTTTCAGGAAATTATGGGATGCATTAACTGGGGATGAATTACATTCATTCGAGCACAAGCACATAGTTCGGACATGTGCCTTCTCAGAAGTACTTTTGAAATATAAATAATGGCTTTAAACATTTGCATCGAATTTCTTTCTGTTTCTTCATTTGCTGTAAGGATTTGGACTGCCAACCTTTTGACCTTTAGACTTCAATATATGTTGGAATTTTCTGCTCAAAATGATTCTTATGTTATTGTTATATTTATCTGACAACTGTTGAAGGATTAACTTATTTGATTAAATTTCAGGATTCCCACCGTCTACTAACTGGAGGTGTTGAAAAATTGCTTCGCATATTTGATTTAAATCGACCTGATGTACCTCCTACGGAAGTTGAAAAGTCTCCTGTGTCGGTTAGAACTGTTGCTTGGCTCCACAGTGACCAAACTATCTTAAGTTCCTGCATTGATATGGGTGGGGCGAGGTACGTGGACAGAAAAATTGATGTCATTTGTTTCTGTAATTCAAGTCGCTGCCTGTAAATTTCTCTCATGTGTACAGGTTTGGCACTTGAGTGCTTGCACCTTACTGTATATTAGTTTTTACCCCCACTAAACTCATGGGCTAAAGAGTTTTAGAATTTCTATAAGAATAAAAACACAGATTTTTTCTTTCCAATTGAGAACTTCCATTAGCTGTCACAAGTTTCTAAAACCTCAGTTTTTCTGACATTCAATATATCTATTTCCATTTAATGTTCTATGAACTGATGACCTAGGTTGTGGGATGTGAGAACTGCCACAATTGTTCGAACACTTGAGACAGTGTCTTCTGTAACCTGTGTTGAAGTGAGTCAAGAAGGACGCTACATAACAAGCACAGATGGGTCAACTGTTAAGTTCTGGGATGCAAATCAGTAAGCCTCCCTCCCCACCCCCCTTCCAACCCCGGTTTTCCTGGAGAAGTCATTTAAGGTTAACAAATATTGAGCTCCACATTTGGAACAAAAACACATGACGGTTCCAACGATCAGGATGAATATTATTTGCCTTGCCTTGCCTTGCCTTCTTTTTGGCAGCAAATGCATAAACATTGTTAAACAATTCGAAGAGAAAAAGAGGCTAGAGTTTTATTGATT